GATAAGATGTTCTTGAATCCCTTTGTATTGAATAATTCTCTCTATGGCTTAAATAAGAAAGCATTTAAGCTTGCTGATTTGACCAGTTTATTTCTTACACCTAGAAATTCTCTACCAAATTATAGGTAAATATAAAAATGATTTAAGTAATGTTTTCCTGAGTTGTTTCCACTCTGAACTTACTCAGAATAAAGACTTGAACTCAGGACTTTGATTTCTTTTTTTCCTCCTGCTCATCCCACATATCTGAGCAGTCTTTTAGTCTTTTCCGACCTCTGCAAACTCTACATTATTTTAAAAGTGTGATTAAGATTTTTGTCTGAGTTTTATCTGCTACTACAATGATTTATTTTGTTCAGTTGACCAATATTTCAAACTGTTATATGTTTTTATTAATGATTTTCCTATCAATATCTAAAATACTTCCAAAAAGTCCATACATATGATGAATGGGATCTATTTTTAAACCATATATAAGTCATTGTATTGAAAACAATATTTGGACTGCAGATTTTATTCACACTGTAAAAATAATGTGGATTTTTAACAAGGGCTCTACATATACTACATTCTGGCCTAGCTTGGAAAGATAACTTACTATTTGTGAAGGAGACAGAGATCTTTGACAGAGCTCATCCTCTTGTGGGGGTGAGGGCATATTTCTTGGAATTGTTTGCTGCCTAGGTCTACCCATCTTTAAGAGTTAATACCATCTATTTGCAAATGAGTTGAAAGGAAAGGGAATTTTTAGAGACTAGAGGGAAGTGAAGGAGCATAAACACTGATGACCCTTTCATCATATTTTTTTTTTACAGTAAATTCTGCAAAGAGGCTTTGTCATGCAATCTCCTGGATTTTTATATATCATTGATTTTTAAAGAGTGGAAGTGAGGAGAGGGAGAGAGAAAGAGAGAAAGAGAGAGAGAAGCATCAGTGTGTAAGAGAGACACATCAGTTGATTGTCTCCCACATGTGCTTGACTCGAGTCTGGACCATTGACTGAGAATAGAACCCTCAACCCTTAGGTCCACAGGCAGATGCTCTAAACTGTGAGCAAACTGACCAGGGTTTGGTAGGTATTCTTAAATTTGGTTTAATAATTACTGATTTCAGCCCATTCTGTATGCCTTGGGAGCATAGTCCCATGTCCCAAGAGTTCAAATCCTGGGGCACATGCCCAGGTTGCTGACTGGTACTTAAGCTCGATCCCCAGTAGGGGGCCTGCAGGAGGCAATTGATCAATGTTTCTATCACTCTCTCTCCCTATCCCTTCCTCTCTCTAAAATCACTCTAAAAAATTTACTGATCTGATATTGTCTACAGTTGAACCATTCATTTGTTTAGGATCTAGAATTGCAGTCACTAAGCACACACCATAGTCGAACACATCCACACTAAGTGCATGGTCTTCACCCTCTCTATAGCTACCAAAGATATCACAGAGATATTTAGAACACTTCCCTTTCAGTTGTCAATATTTTGAGATGTGTGATGAGTAAATGGAAGAGCCTTACATCTTTAGTGGTAGAACTGTCAAGAAGTGTTCATTTTTTTGACCCTTGCCCCTCAAATGTAGACAATTTCAGAATCCATTACAGAGGAAATAAACAGTTGATTTTAAGTTAAGGATGAGCCTAGCAACCATTTGCACTATATTGATGTCAAAAGTATCTCTTTGCCAAGCCCTAAAATGCATCTTCAAAAACTACTGAAAATATCCAAGAACTTTAGTGATGAGCTACAAATGGAGTTTGGTATTGATAAATAAAAGTCAATATGTATAGTGAAAGGACAACTTACTGTGATAAATGGGCCCACCATCAGTAAAGATCAAATTATTGACTATCTAAGGCTAGGAAAAAACCTGTCTATAACTAACTTCTACAGGTGAGAAGAATTAGCCACAACAGCAGTTCAGAAAAAGCTCCAAGAGAATTCATTAAAAATACATACAAAAGTAGGCAGCAACATTTTGTTAACAAATGTATTTGTGGCACTAGGCTAATATATTTCTTTGGTCATACCCAGCCAGGTTCACAACTTTTTCTTTTACCTGAATGAACTCCTATTCAGCTAGCCGTTTTTCTATCAAGATGATCTAATTCAAATTTTACTTCCGGACTACCCTCTTACAGGGAAATTACCTCTGCATTTCTTAAAACCATATCACTCTTGAAATATTCTCTCTAATGCTCCTACTAGTTACTTTTCATTATACGTCAATTAGATCACAAGTTGTATGAGGGCATATAAAAAGTGCTTTCATTTTTTTACCCCTCACATTGTCTGGCAAGGAGCTCTATCCATAATAAGCACTAAATCAATAGTTGTTGATTTCATCATTTTGGAAATGATTCATTAGAGAAGTCTTGGGCACACATCATGTCAGACTTTAATGATGAAGTATCACAGGAAACACCCAAAAGAACAATTGCAAAGACTAGCCTCTCAAAAAAAAAAAAAGTAGAATGGTGGTAATTAACCTTTCCAAAGCTTGTTATTCCCCATTGACAGAATGTAGGTGTTTTTTTTTTAAGTAAATTTAATTGGAACCCCTAAAAACTATCCAGTAAAAATGGCAAATCTTGTACCATCTCAGATTTGAAAGCTAAAATGCAATGAAGCAAAATATCTGAAGAACAGCTTTCATCATTCTCCTACCCCCACACAAACCACACCCTTCAACATCAGTGGTGAAGAAGAAAAATAGCTGCATGGCTCCCACCCCTGTGAGTTTACTGAAGATCATGTAGCTAAAAACTACATCAAACTTTCTGGCTTTCTTGAGATGTCAATTCATCCTGGGCCACTTTATTGCCACTAAAAGTGTTTGCAGGTATTTCCCTTGCTGTTCTAATACCATGCTCTCTTCCTCTAGAAGAGAACAGAGTTTAATTGAAAAATGAGTGAATGAATATGTGAACATTTTAACTTATGAAAGAACAGTGTATGAGGTGATAAGGGCTATGCATTTGCCCAAATAAACACAGGTTCTACCTCATTAGCCATTCATAATAAATTCCCCTATTTGATTAATTCTGTTATAAATGCTAACATCAGTATTTCAGAAAATTAGCAAGATACATAGAGATAAAAATGATTAAAACAGGCCAAGAAATCTTGACCAGTGCCATATTGTTCTGCAATTTTGATGCATTTAATTACCAAACTAAATAGTTCACAAAAACCTTTAGATTCAAAAATAATCTGTGTGATTTAAAGTGGGGGAAGTTAAAGGCAGTTACACCAATAACAACTTAGACCATCTGTGTCGTGTTGTTCCTTTCAAGTCACAGACTAACCCAGACTACCATTTTGCAAATAAGCATCTTTCCTACCAAGTTGGCCTAAACAGGAGACAGTTGACAGTAGTTTAAAGCACATATCCTCTCAGATCAGGAGGATATCTAACAGGATACTTCTGCTTCATTCATTCATTTTGCAAATCTTTCAAGAATACCTTCTATGGCCAATGATATACGGAAGTGAATAAAACAGGCTATCTACTTTCATCCTTTTTTCAAAAAATTCCAATGTACAACATGAAAAGTTGGTTTTATTCATTTAAAATCAGAATTTCATATATTTTCCTCATAATGTGTTCTCAGACACAAGGTTTTAGAGATGCAGTGAATCCAAACTCTGCTGGCACTTCCACAGAACAGAGTACTGTCCATTCTGAGAGGTGCTGAAACAGTGGGACCAGACTGTGCATCAGAAGTATGTTTCTAGTCTCCTTTCAAGTGTGCATATATGAGCCTCAGGCTGCAATAGCCAACACATTGCATACTCTACAATAAACAAACAAGAGCCCTACTAATGCTGCTTTGGACCTGTCCGGTCCCCTGTGTCACTCAGGGAATGTGTGAAGTAGCCTGGCCTCAGCCTCTGCACTTGTTCTCATCTCCTAACGGAGGTTTGGGAACAGTGTCCCTGTACCTGTATGTTCCCCTTTGCCAACAAATGTGTTATTTCATGTGTGATTTAAAAATACATATTTTCTCTATTGCACTTATTGCTTATAAATGTCTTGTGTGTTATCAAGGCCTGAGGAGACAGTGGTCATGATTACTGCAGCAATTTGTAAGAGATTAAATTCCAATGTAGTAAAAAAAAATACATGTTTATGTTGATTGACTACCAGAGAAGTATGAAAATTTATATTATTTTAGGCTTGCTTTGTTTCATTATTCACTAGGTTTTTCTCGTGAAGACATGTCCACTTTTCCTGAGATATGATTCAGTGAATTTACACCAAGAATTACAACCTGTGGGGAAATGTGGAAACTTGAGTCTATGTTTTCTCTAGTGGAACTAGTGGCTGTAATGTGCTTATAGGAAATTTTAGGTTCCTGGGATAGATTCTGTTTCTGTTCATAATTTCTACTCAGAAAATAGTATCTCACGACAAGTCTCCTGGAGGCCTCCCATGGAAAATATCAGCTCTCTTTAGTGTGCAGTGTATTCCAAATTTTAAAAATTATTTTATAGGGCCTTTTTGTTAGATAATTGGTACCATGTTTGTTTGTTTGTTTAATTTGGTGGAGAACCACAATGTATGAGAAGTGTTCCATCAGTGGTGATTTGTGTGACAAAAGGAACCATTGCACCAGCCAAGCACTGGTCTTTCTAATTGACTAGCCTCATGTCCTCTCTCTGTGTCCTATTGCCATTAATTGACTATATTGTTTTAGATTTATGCATTAAAAATACGATTTCTACTTTGAAGGGATCACTTTGTTACTTTGTAGCTTTTAAGCTGATGCCATGAACTTATTTTTCTTCTAAGATAAAGTCTCATCTATAGATTTTTCAACTAATTACATGTCTGCCAATACATACTTAGAGGATACATTTTATTTCAATTTATTGTTTGTGTTTACATCATGTGTCCCTGGAAATTACTGTGGAACTGAAAGGAAATGTTTTAATGGTGTTTATTGCTACTTTTCATCACTCTTTCTTTTCTCTCTTACTCTTACTCTCTCTCTTTTTAATAGCTTCAGCCAGTCTGGTCAAGCATGACAGCGACTCAAACTCGGCAAACTTCCAAGACACTGAGGACATGCCTGACAGATGTGTCGTGAAAGAGTCTGAGAGTCCAGGTGAAAGCCATTTAAAAATAGTCAAGTATAAAATGATAAATTTGACACAGCTTTGGGGTCCTTGGAAGGGGGTGGGGAGACAGGACATTGTAATGCTGTTTGCTCTTAGCAGCTGCACTGTCAAATTAATGGTCACCTCCAGGGGTCACGGCATGGAGCTGTTATCTTTTCCTCTTTCATCAAGAATTCAGTTGGAGGAAGTACAAAGGCTTTATGACTGAAAAGGAAGCTGACACTATTAGTTCATTATCATCAATTTTAGGCTAAACTGATTAATAGAGGCAGAGATTGGAAACTGAAGGAATGGCAATATTTTAAATATTTCAAATAATAGGATCGAGTGGAAAAGGAGAATTAGGGACAAAAGAGACACAAATTGTCATCATTACAATCTATGTACCTTTCTAAATACAAACAGGACTCTACCTGGCATGAGAGGATTTTAGCATAACAGTAATGGACTAAAGGATGTAGTCAACTGTTTAGAAAGAAAAAGAAAATAATAATCCTTCCCCATGCAATAAAATTTACCCAGTGTCCAAGTTATTTATGTTTGTATTTTCTTTGTAGGAAGAATAGGCAGAAATGTATTGGAAAAATAAGGCCAGAACGTTTTAGCATAGATTTTTGTTTCCTTTTGTTATCTTTTTGAAGCATGCCTAATTTTAACAACTAATTAGCTAAAGAGAAAAAGAAATATTTGTGAAAGTTGAAGGGCATTCCTGGATCACTACAAAGCCACAAGGCGCTTAAAAGTACCCCATTATTATGAATGAAAGAGTTAACTATCTTCCTCCACTAAACATTTTTCTTTTCTATTTTCTCTGCTGCTGAGTCCCCTCTTCCCTCTCCCATCTTTGTGTGCTGATCCATGTATCAGATTTTTGATTCATCCTCTCCGTGGCCTGTCAGCTTAGTTAAGAGATTTCCAAATCTTGTAGCCTTCGCTGACAAGGGGCAGCTGCAAACAGTCCCCTGATCCTTCCCCGAGGAGAGCTACTGAGATTTAATTTTCAGTGAAAGGTGCAGCCTGCAATCTATGTCAGGTCCCCTAAGTCATCTCGGAACCCCAGTAGGCCCAGTGGCGATGGCATTGTGTTTCAGTTCCTCCACTGCACGGAGATTCCTCAGAAGATGGACTGCCGCCCTGTGTCTGCTCTCAGCCGCACTCCTGCTCTTCCACAAACGGAGAAACGGCATCTTTAGCAATGACAGGAATTCCTTATCAGTACGCAAACCCATCCCCTGCCATAGCTAAAAGACAAGTGCAGATCTATCCAACTATAAAAGGGAGAGGATAGGGATAGCATTAAATTTCCAAAATAAAATTAATTTAAAATAAACTTTTTGGTTTGACTCAAATCGCCTAATTTTGACTAGATTTTTAAACTGTCTTAATAATTGATTTTCTATCAACCATTTGTCAGGCAGTTAATTCCACGAGGCATGTCTTTACCTAAGTGTCTATTGCTTTGGCAAGAACAGATTCACTTTATACCATTTCAAAAGTCACATACATTTCCATCATCTCTCTGTATGAAATTGCAGTGAGATTCAAATATAACATAGTCAAATCTGATTGATATCAACAAAAGGAGGCATCAGAACACAGAAAGATTAATTAGAAAATATAGGTGCTGATAAAGAATCTTAACTTAAAAGATGAGTACTGTCTATACATCGGACATCATTAAACTGGTAATAAAGAATGAATTACTCTGGCTTTTCCCTCTGTCCACTCCTGCATTTTAAGGCATCTTGCCTTATAGGCCTAGAAACCTCTGGAGAGTTCACTACTGGTCTCACTGCTTTCCACTGAGAATTTGTGGCTTGGTTGTCATGGAGACATCGTATTTCTCCAAGAATTTCTCATATTGATCCGTGGCCAGGCGTAAATGGCCAAGCAAGTGTGAGGAATAAAGGGGGCTGGGCAGTCCTATAAAATGACCAGGGCTTGTGGGCTGGAAATAAGCTCATTGCAAACACTTAGGTAAAAAGAAAGAAGCAGTTTTATTTTGTTTCAGGATTTCTCTCTGCACTTTGGGCCATTGTCTTCTTTCACTATGAACTGAAAGAAACTTGTTAGTCACTTGTCATGTCAGATCTTTGGCGCTTGTCCTGACACAGCTGTCAGCCTTCCAGCTCTGTGCAGTTCAGGGACACACAACAAAGAGGCAATGGCATGAATTATTTATTGCTCCTTGTGTGGATAAAATTCTGTGATAAGAAATTAAGACACTTCTGACAGAGGTGCTTGTTTAGTAAGAAAAAATTTTGATGAAAGAGTGCATCATTTTTTTTGAAGTATGAGCATTGGAGAAGCAAAATTCTTAAAACTGGACATGAAGGGAGATATGTGAAATTGGTGGCAGAGAGGGACTTTCTTGACCTGGGGAAATATGTCTGTCTACTTCTCAATGTCCAAAAATTAACTTCCAACTATGAAGTCATTCAAATAGTCAAACTATTAAGACATTTAAATATAAGAACTCCAAAACTAGAAGTATTACTTTAGTGATCTAGTTACCTCTACTTACCATGTAAGAGGGTGTTTAACTACCTTTGTTAGGAAAAAAAAAAATTAGGGGTTTTAAGTGACAAGCTTTGGTAAGGTGTCTTCAAACCAATATACGTGCTTCAGTAGCTAAGCTTACAATTGTATTCATATATTTGTTATTCCTTGTATAGAAGAAAGTGAATTTAAATCATGAATGCATCATTCTTACCATTTTCACCTGGGATATTATCAATAATTTAAAATTCCTTTTAACATTTTCATGTATGTGCAAAATCCCCCAGTTACAAAATTGAATGTGGTCATTCTTCAAGCTTTAATGGATATTGACCTTATATAGTTTTATCTATGCAATTTTAAGTAACTAACATATTTATTACATCATTTTTTTTTATGAATAGGCCCATTGTTGGGGCAGCATATAGAAAATGAAAACAAAAAAATCATTTTCCCATTCAAGCACAGTTGAAGAATATTGTCTCATATATTGTCATTTTCACATAAAGTCTTTTCTTCGTAAATCCTCTAAACATTTCACTTTGGTTCTTCTAGCTTCATATTGCTGCTACCAACTCATTTGCACATGCAGAGTGCAAAGGGGCATTGAAGAGAGAAACACTAAAATAGCTTTTTTAAACGGTGAAGTTGAAGTTGTTTAAACATTGATAGAACATTGAAAATGTTACTACTAAAACCAAATTTTTAGAATTTTTATAAGATAGTAAGATTGATTTCGTGAACTGACTATATTTGAATACAGTGGGTTTTGAACTTCAGAGTGTTATTTTTTTTTCCATCGACACCGCTGCTCTCTGGCATTGGAGAGACTGGGATGACTGTAAATGGGCTGGAGTGTGTGTGTAGATTACGATTTAGAGGTCTGGTGCTAAGGTTGTTCAGCTGGTCTCCAGAGCGCTCTACCTGGCTCATCATGCCATTGTGATCTCTTTATGGGTTCAAGCTGTATACCCAGGTGAGTGACTGCAGTCCATTAAGGTTTGCAAAGCAACTTTAGACCAGAGCATTCCTGATACTCTGACTCTGCTAGTGAACCTGGGGGTCTTGTCTGATAGGTTAAGGTCTCCCTCCACTGTGTCTTTCCTTTGGAATAATTCATTAGCAGAGAGTTTTGCCTCACAGGTGAATCCCAGATTGAAGTTTCTGCCTTAGCATCTGTGAAGTCTACTTTCTCCTTCAATGGCATTTATACATCCCTGAAACCTGTGGGAATCACTTGGATGTCTAGGAATAGAAGCATGGAGACCACACTGTGAACTTGCAGATCCCTTTTATTTTGAGGTTTTTTAGGGCCATTAGGCTTTCTTTCTTTGGCTCTTTAAGGCCTGGTCGCTTCTGCATCTGAAAGATGCTATCCCCAACATAGTTCAGTTTAATCCTTTGCTGGTTAACTTGTTTTCTGTTTCATGCAGTGATTAAAGCTCAGTTCCCATTCTCTAGATTATAAAAGTCTTCTTGCATCTCATCTTTGCACTCATGATGATAAAAAATTTAGTGTGACATTCACAATGTTTATCTGAGTGTTAATGAGAGACCATGACTTTTATCACCTTATTGGTTTGGAAAATGAATAATTTTACTTCCTGGTGCACTTAGTACACATAAACATAGCTTCAGCTGAAAATAGTAGTGACAATTGAGAAAGTACCGAAAAAGCACTCAGACAAGCATTTTCACGTCATTCTGAAGTAATTTATAATCAGTATGCATTCTGCCATTAATAGAACATTTTAGTGATTTTTATATAGCACGTTATGTGTGTAGATTTATAGACATCATTGTCAATCAATATAGCATTTGCATGAATCTGATGAACAAAACTAGATTCTCACAGTTTCCAGGGGATACTACATTGTGAAGAGTTAAGGTGGATCTTTTTTTTCCCCCCCTTTTACTATTCTGGCTCATGAATCACCAGCAAAAATCAGGTAAGAGAAAGTAGGACAGATTCAGGACTGGAGTGTTGGAGATGGCTGATGATGATGCATGAAGCAGAAAAAATGTGGAATGTGTGAGCAGCCCATCAATCATAGCCATCGCGAACACACTTCTTATGGTTGCTGCTAAAAAAAATGTTCTAGGAGGAGTAAAAACAATTTTAGTAAAAAAGAAACCATTTAAACTCTTTCTAGTTGTTTAAAATATCATTTTTTTTATTTACCCAAAGGGAAACATTTAAAGCATTAACTAATAACTTTTAAATAATGTAAAATTTCTTGGCTAATATATTATTTTATGTAGCATATATTATACAATATAGACTATGGTTTAACTAAACCAAATAATCAGGTTTTTGAGTTTTTTTCCAAGTAGGAGTGGGGGTTAGTATGTGTAGTCACATCACTGATATAAATGTATTTAGAAGTAGTCAACAAAGGCACAGTGTTCCAATTAATTTGATAATCAAATTAATTGAAACCAAGAAATATATTTTAGACTACAATAACAATCATCTAAGTAGTGTGAGAAATAAATGTTTTTCTTTTATTCTATAATTCAAATCATATTTCAACTAACATTTAAACATTTGAACCTAAAACTGCAATTGTGGGCTTTTTTACAAATAATTCAGCTCCTTGAAATTTAAGAAAAATTGCTAATTTCTAGTATGTTTCATCTTATTGAAAATTTCCAGCTTTTCGGCAAAAAAAAACACCCTATATTAATAATGTATTTAATTAAAATATACCTGGAACATGGTTTACAAGATAACAATATATTATTATACTAATATATTTAATATAAATAAAAATGCAGAAATTATAGGTAATTCTTTTTTTCTTCTTCCTTTCTTCTTATCTTTATTTCTTTTCTCATTCCTTCTTTCCTTTCATTCTTTCCTCTCTTCCTCCCTTTCACACTGCCTTTCTACTTCCTTTCTTTATTTCTTCATATAATGCAAGATAATCTGTTTTCTTTTCAGGTGAGCCAAGGCATCGGTCATGGATAGCAAAGATGTGCTTCTGCAAGCTGTGCTAAATGAAATATCAACTACAGGAATTGCATTTGGACATATTAAGAAACCCAAAACATGCCACTTGTTTATCATCATCGTATGTATGCTATGTTATTGTTGATCAAGATATTAGGTTGTAGTAGATTTGCTAATACTTCAGCCAGAGTATATTGAAAACTGTTATTAATGATAGAAAATGTCCAAATTTATCTAATTTTAGAAAACCATTGTCTAATTCATTCTATGCTCCTGTTTCTTTCTTTTAATGTTTTCAACAAGGAGTATCAGCCCAAAGACATAAATTTAACACCATTTTAGATTTTATTTCATATTTTAAGTTCCTGAATTATATAACAAGCAACATTAAAACCACATTGCTTTTAAACAGTGTAGCACACAATGCTTTTAAATGTTATGTTGCTTTAATGTATTTAATCAAAACTTTACCAAATTTGTTTGATAGGTTAGGACATTTTGTTTTAGTAGAAGCTTTAATTCAGATCAATCACTCTGCAGTAAATCTAATCCCTAAGGATGAAATGTTGTCAACAAATAGCCAGTTCCATTTAGTCATCAATTAGCCCAAATAAGTGATACAGAGTATAATAGGGACCTAGCTTATGCAGTTAAGCTGGATCTCTAATAACATAGGAGCTAATGTCTCTAGCCAAAGGTTGATCTTGTTGGCCACACAGATGTGAATGTGGGAAGGGCACCATACTTAAAACACATCACACCGGAACCTTATGGAGGATAAACTCTTGCAGATCTTTTCCCAGAAAGAAGCTTGACTAGCAAGAATTCTTAAACCAAAATATGCAAAGCAATGTAAGTAGGAACAGACCTTAACTGCTCATCTATGAAGGCCCTTGGTGATCTGCTTTATTTTCTGTATTGTGTATTATATTTTTTCACAGATAAATAAAAATAATTTTAAACTGCTGCACAATTTAGCATTTTTTTAAGTCTAAGGAAACCAATACTGAAACCTTGATGAATATTTTATGATGCCCCTAGCCATAGGAAATTAGAACTGGCATAATCCTGACATTACTAAATGAGATTTTTAAGATTTTTTGGCATCACTTTGTAGGTGCTAAAATTAATAATTCATATTACATGGCTAATTAAAATACTTTATCAACATGAATTCTGGAGGCTAACACCAACAACTATCAAACATTTTAATTCCTAAAAATGTGACTATACAATACTCTCTAATATCCATGTGTAACTTATTAACCAAATCTAGTCTCTTTAAAAATGATTTTTTAATATTGACTTACATTCAACATTTCAGTAATTTCTGTGGTAAGGAGAACTTTAACAAGTTGTCAGACAATTATTTGGATCAACCATGTGGCAACCCGTTGATTACGTGACTGATAGCCTTGCCTTAAATAACCAGTGGATGAATTGTATTAGTGAGCAAACATATTTGTATCCAGAATCTTCCTTGTCATTGTAATAATTCATTAAAAAATATCTTCTGCTCTTTTTCTGACAACAATCTTGGTGATATTTATGATTATATATTTCCCTCCAAAAAATATCATATTTTCTCATTCGCAGGTAGGAATTTTGTTCTTTATTGTTGAGTTACACCCTGGCTATACTATGGAGGACAGGATCTGGAAAATATGTAGGTTTCACTGCCACGTGTCTGGGCAGCATGTCCCTGCTGTGCTTCTCAGAGCCTCACTTCCCCGTCCACATACGCCACAGGATGGAAGGCAAGCAGAACGCTGTAAAGTTTTTCCAACAGAAGGTGAAACGTATAACATTATAAATGTACAGCTACAGAGGTTAGGCCTGAAACATTCTGTTGCTATTTTAGAAAATAAGTTAAGGCTACTTTGAACTTGGCACATTAGAAAAATGGTAAGAAAACACTTCGCTAAATAGTACCATGCTATCGAGTTGGTAGTATTTGGGGGTAATTTTTATTTCCTCGGGCATTTTTCTCCAATGTTCTGCTTCTTTTTTAAACCTTCTATAATTATTCAAGTGAGTAATTACTCAAAAAGTAACGTTTCTCTTCAATCTTTAGAGGGCACATTATAATAATTGAATTTTTAAAAACTGAGTTTTATGCCATGTGTTTAAAGTGAAGGCTCCAAATGCATTAATCCAATTGATTTTTAAAGTCTTATATTTACAGAATGGACCATTCATGCAATTTTTATATTGCAGATATTTTCATATGGTTAGTTAAAAGCAGTGCTCTATACCCTTTGATTCTCCACAAAATGTTGTTTTATGTGTAAACTGCCCAAAGTTTTATCTCATCACGTAAGAAAGTCATTGCTTGGTAAATGAATACATGGTTAGTGCTGTAAAATTCTTTCAAAAGTAGCTGTAACCAAAAAGTTGCAAAGTTAAAACTACCTTGAGTAGCTGTCTTTCTGATGGAGTTCCACATGGCTTCATGGATCATGAGTGCTTCCCAGACCACTTTGCTGTGATTTCATCAATAAGGACACAACAGATGGCATGAAGGAAAATATATAAACTGGAATTGAACAGTTTCCCAGGGCAGGGCTCCGGGGAGGCCTGTCCTGGCATAACTCCTTCCTCCTCTCACCTCCATCCCAAACTTCTCAGATCCCGTCTTTATTTAGAATTTTGACATGTGGTGTGTATTTTTTCATTCTTTTGATTTTCATTAATATTGTATTCAAATATATGTATCTTGATTACTGAGTGTTTTTGCCACTCCCTAGTCTCAGACAATATTTATTATGAAGTCTAGGAAAATAATTTTACCTTTATCTCAAAAAAGCATACTGCAATAAGTAGACTTACCATTGCATCATTATGAGCATGATTACAATGATACAAATGGAAAAAAAAATATTTTAACACCCTGTGAAAACTAAAGCCACGGACCATTGCAAATTTTTGACATGGCTTCTATTGGTGCACAGGGGAAATCTATGGTTCTTTCTTTTGACACTGTTTCTCCAAGTGCCTTTTTTCTTTTCATTGCAGAGCATAGTTTTCTATTTATCAATGTTAGGGACTCTTTCTGCTCTTTCTGTTTCCAGCACACTGCCGATTGTAAAGGCAGCAGTGATTTTTATTTTCTTACTCAAGGATACAAGGTTTTTAATAATTAGTACAGATTTAGTACAAAACTGCATCTAACTCTGCAAAGTGCCATATGCCTGCAAACTGCCAATATTCATAACATTATGCAGCAGCAATAATTGGTTGGTCCATGCTCACATAACCTGTCATTTATTCACTTAACAATCATTTTAATTGCTATCATCTATAAAGTCATCAATCAGCTTTTCGATCTTGTTCGTGTGTTTTCTATGAGAAAGTGTTTCCACACAGCCCAATAACTGAGTTTGGTGGTCTTAAATGATGCCCTCTCAGATAAGAGGACAGTCGATGATGTGCTCTTGGCATATCACAAGTTTCCTATAGATTTTAAAGAGATGTCCTGTTAATTCTACAGTGGCAATCCTATTTCCTATCAGAAGCAACCACTCTTATCTACATCAAAAAAATTCTTACGTTTATGTTATCTTCATTTACATCAATTTATAGTTATAGTTAACTGAAGAAACATTCTTTAATTTTTCCTTTGGTATGGTAGAGCCAGCCAGGAAAACAAACTACAATAACAACAAAAACCCTATAGCCCAATGATGTTAAGAGCTGTCATCCTCTCCTGGAGACAATTACAGTTATGGGTATCAGGTTATACTTAGGACTGTTTTTATGATAAGGAAGATTTCATTGAATTTCAAATATTTCAAATAATCAGTGTATTCCCACCAATCATAGCAATACCATTTGGTCCAATTTCTGCGAGAACTCAAGATAGTAAATGAGGTGAAAATAACAAACATTATCATTTTTATAATACCATTTTATAATATCATTTTTATAAACATTATCGTAGTCAAATTAAAGAAACGAATGTGGGGATTTCTAAAGTATGTTTTCGTAGAACATATAAATACTTCGGCACATGCCTGTCCAGAAAGGTGCTGGGCTTTGTGTGTAGTCTCCCTGCCATGTAGGTGGCAGCAACACTCAAGGCTAGAAACGTTCTTTTATATTCTCTTAGCTCTAGCCCGAAGCATATTCTTACAAAAAGTCTTTGTCGAAGAGAAAGGGCCTAAAGTGTACAGACAAATTTCTCTATGTCCTCACATATCTCTAAAGCACTATTTTAAGGCTGTGCTAAAGTGGTTCCCATGATGTGAAAACATTCATCATTCCCCTTAATACAGAAGTCATATTCTGCTCTCGTACACGTTGGTAATATTAGGTTTCTGTTTCTTTATTTACTAGGATCTTACCTCTTACCATTTCTCAGGCTAAAGCCTTTTTTCTGATGAAAAAGGAAGAAAACTGCCTCAAACCGCTGCCACCTGGGAAATATTGTAGTAAAAGTCTGTCCCTTGATTCTTTGTAAACAATCAAGAAGCTGAGTATTTAGAAATGTGGACAAATTTTCCTTTAGTCTTTCAAATGAAGCCATTTTCTCTGATTGTCCTAACTAGAGGTGACTGCATTCAAGTTACTGCTATGTGCAAAGCAATTAAAGTCCAAGCACAGAGGCCCAAGACACCTGAGGGTAAAGCCAAGCAGGCTGGGCACCCTGATGCACAGGTGAAGAGGGTAACTAAATGCCTAGGTCTGGGGAGGTGATTACATGGTTTGGGGAAGGTGAGGAGAGGATTATATATAATATCTTTCACTCTAGTTTTTAATGTTCCTCACTTCTTTTGTC